TTAGTCTTCGGCCTGACCATTTCTTTTTACGCTAAAAGAAACTAGTAATGTTAAAGTGAAATATTTTAACAATCATTAACCAGTTATAAAACAAATACAGTTATTGTTGAGAATGATGGTGAAAATGCCAACATAAGTGTTCTGCTGTATGCAGATTGTTGATTCCCTGTACCCCTTATTAAACAAATCCATTGCCAACCCACAGATTTACCAACAGAAGGTACACATTCAGCAGCATAGGTGGCTTTTAACCTTATCGACTATTGCAGCTGCATTCCTTCTGGCATTTCAAAGTGGTTCTGTTTGCTTACAGCCCTTTTTAGCTGTTGTCCTTGTGTTTGGAACAAGAGTACCCTCTCTGTATCTGTGGTACAGATTGAGAACTTTGTGACCATTACTGGTCTCTGGAGACTTTAGTGCTAACTCCTGAATTTTGCAAGCCGTTTGGGAGAGAAGCTTGCTGTACTGGTAATATGAATTCATTTTGTTTCTGTTAACAAGTTTGTGGTTTTTAAGGAGGAGCTGCAAAAAGAACTTTCATAAAATAACTGAAACTGTGTTTTTGACAATATTGTGAATTGTTCTGTGCCTAGATTAGTGGCAGACTTGCAAGATAAAAGTTTGCATATTTATTTAATTTTAAGAAGAGAATGTAAATAACAAATTTACCATGCTTGTTAATTGCTGCATTGCACTGAAATGTTGTGGGTATATTATGTCCATGTTAAAATATAAGTGTATGAATGTGTATAAATGCAGTTATAGGAACTATTACTTGTTTTTTTGCAGCTTTTCCTCACAAAATTTTATGCTGCTGTAATTCCACAGTACTGCAGACCTCTTTGTTAAACATAAAGTATTTTGTGTCACAAAAAATCATAGTGTAATTATTATTGCTGTAACACCCGCCACCAAAAAGGGCTGTAATAAACATTTTTCATGTAAACAGTACATACTGTATGATATGGAATACCTGGTTTTACATTCCTGATCAATGGGATTTTTTATAAAAATGATGTGATTAGAATGAAGGCTTTGAATTACGGTGTGAACATATTTTCATTTTCCTCTATTGTATGCTGCTCTCATTGGCTTGTTTGTAACAAATATGGCAAAAAATGGCAAAGTAATTCTCACCTAGTGGGTGCTTGATGCTGCTGCTTTTATGTCGAACCCTATTATCAGAGCACCCAGAATTCTGTCTACCCAGCGTAGGCCCTTTTCATATTGATAAAAATAATTGTCTTGTGCTGTTTTTGTTTATTTTCCTTATTTGGTACCATAGAACATTGTGTGCTTTTTCACGGAATAAAATAACTTTAACGTTTCCATTGTCAATAGAGTGAGGAACTTGTGTTGTCATGTGAATCTTACAAAATGTGTAGTTACATATACAGCATGCTACATTATCTGAGTAAGTGACATAGTGTATTTGATAACTAACACATGTGCAGTAAATTATGTGACAAACTTCTGGAATCCTAGATTTTTGTTAATATGGAAGTTTTCTACGAAAACATAAATAATAAGTCCACCATTACCATTTATTGGTGCTTCTACCAGGGAAGATTGTCCTGTGGTTTGCATATACTTTAAAATGTGACAAAGGTGGTAGAACTTATATGATAGTATGTTATAAAATGGGATTTTCACAGAAGAAATTACCAACATTTCAAAGTAACTTACTGCTGCCATCTTTTACCCTCAATAGGGTTGCTTTGCAAACCAAAAAATGTCAAGTTTCAGTATTTGTCAAAAATGTTAAAATGAAAATTGTTAAATGACTATATTTTTATACTAAAAATTATTGAGCAGCCCCTTAGCTATCATCATGAACATTATTCTGCTTAATACTGCATTGTAGAGAATGATGTTAACTGCATACACAAATTCTTTTATAATAATAAATAAGTAGGATTTGAGGTTTTCATGGTGGTGAATCTGAAGTTGGCTGTCTTCTGGATTGTAGTGCCTTGTCTGGTAGAAATTTACCAGTTTTTCAGAGGTCCTTGCTGCTTCTATCATTAGTATGATGAGTCACTCATCACCCTGATGACCTCTGAAATGTTGATTTTATGCTGAAAAACAATGTTCAAGTTCAAATTACACAAGGATTTTTTGAATGTACATTACAAGGAAAGTTTGATTTATCACCTCTACAATGGAAGTTAATAGTATTGCTAAATACATCCTTAAAGAATACCATTGGAGAAGGAATTCTGTCACAGATTAGTTTTCAAATTAATAGTGTATTTACAAAATGCAGTACCCAGTAAAAGGCGTAATGTTTTCTGAAGACATCTATTGTATGTCATATCTAGGAAAATAGAGATGAAAGCAGACTTTGACTTTCAGTGACATGTTTTCTCAGGCAGCACATCTGTTGTGTGTTGTATGTGCCACACAAATAGTATAATTACTGAGATGTAAAATGCCAAAATCTTGTTGATGTAATTATTTGTAAGCTATACTAAGGCACATGATTTACTTTGGTTCTATTTCAGTATGCCAGTTCCTGTTTTCCACTTGCACTTGGTTTGATTTTATTATCTTTTGTTGTTTCCCACAGTTTTCTTTGCCATAAAAGGCAAAAGCCCTACAGTGAGTCAGTTCACGTCCTTATAACCTCTGCTAGTCGTATATCTATACCTTGGACTTCGTACTGGAATCTTTTTGTTAGGTTTTCAATCCAAGATGTTATTCATTGCAAGTTTGAGTAGTTAACTTTCTTACCGACTGGGCTATGTCACGCCGGTGTGTATACTTGTGAATCGCTCATAGGCCACAACTCTCTTCACGGCGCTACTTTGCCCACCAATAGGATTCTAGTTACGCATATGGATTAATCAGTGGGTTGCGCTGTGTAATTCTGTTGGGGGCGAGCGATATTCGAGTCGTGTTGTAAGAATTATTCAGTTACTAGCATCGAAAGGGAGAAGAAAGGTAAAATGAACTTCTTTTATATAGAAATTGTAGTAAATTTAACAAATATCATTAATGATGTCTCGTTATGAAAATACAGCATATGAAGCCATTAAACGCTTTGAGGCTTCACTGTTTGAAGAAATTTGCATAACGGAATGGTATAGGAGCAGGTATCGCTATTCAAGAAATTATAGTTAATGAACAGCACAGATTGCTCTTAAGTGTTTCTATTTTCCAGATAGTTGAAGCTATTAAATTGTAATAAACCATTTCTCGGGAAGTGAATGCGAACTAGAAATACAAAATGGTTGCCATGTTCTATATTTCATAATCTTACAGATTTTCATAACGCATTTAAATAAACTGAAACACCGAATTTAATTAATTATTGGGCTACCAGCCGTGTAAGGGACCTAACAAAACTGACGATGCATCCGGGAAACCGATAGTTCGGGGAACGATGGATAGAGGTTTCACTGTTCTGGGATTCTCTATACATTTTGGCTGATTTCATATGCATCAGCATAAAAGATATTTTTGTATTTGGTCATTGCTGTTAATGAAGAAGACGGCTGGTATGTATTGAATATGGTGCTTGTGCCTGGTGACCATTTTCGTGGGCACTGCAGTGAAAATAAAACGTTTTGCTGAGAGGTTGTATCATTGATCTGTTCATTGGCAGTGTGAGAAGAGAAATGTAGTTTAATATCAGTCAATTATTATTTAAATAAGTTAATCCGCATCACTTCTAAATCATGCAAATATATTGCACATATAATAAATTTAAATGCACTATTTGTTATAGCTTCTTGAATGGGGTTTGTGTCAATCAGTTGTTAATATAAATCTGGTTTGCACATTTTGAATTCCTTTCATGTTTGGTTCACTTTGTCATGACAATTGTCAGTAACTACAACACTGTGTGAAATAGATGCAGAATTATTTATTCTTTCAGTCATATCCAGTAATTTATAAAATTCATATTGCTATAATTGACCATACTTGATGCAACTTGAAGCATGTGTGATTTGTTATGAAGCCTTTCACATCATCAGAGTTTATGATGATTATTCTTTGCAGTTTGACCTTACAGTGTAATTTAGGAAAAGGTCAGTCACACAACATTACTCTCTCTTACTCAGGAGTTTTGACCTCGGCAGTGCATGTTGACATTGGGGGTTGGACATACAGACCAGACCGTGTCAAATATATAAGGCTTTAACTCTGCATAATTTCTGTCTGATTTGTTCCACTGTTGCAACCGACTCCACAGTAGTTTGCTGTTCTTTCATCTGCATGGCAAATTGGCAAAATTATACTCTTCCTCCACTGCTTCCTGTTTACATTGGTGATTCATATGATTTATCATCTCCCTAGCCTTACTGTAATGGTTTTGCCCTTTTGACTGCTGAGCATTTGTAAAGTGTTCAGTTTATACCTCAAACAAATATAAAGTAGCAAA